CTATCTATCTATCTATCTATCTATCTATCTATCTATCTATCTGTCTGTCTGTCTGTCTGTCTGTCTGTCTGTCTGTCTGTCTGTCTGTCTGTCTGTCTGTCTGTCTGTCTGTCTTCTTTCTTTCTTTCTTTCTTTCTTTCTTTCTTTCTTTCTTTCTTTCTTTTTTTCTTAGACTGTTCCCATATCTATAATATTGTGGGATCAACTTTTTGCATCCAAAAGTTCAGACAAATATTAAGACTCTGCATTGTGTTCATCCAACTCTGCTTTTCTCCGTCTTTTTAAATGACTTGGAAATAACGTGAGTTCCTAAGAAATAATTTGTAAGAACTAAATACACCAATGACAAGCTCACATTTCTCTTGTTTATTGGAGATCTCTAGGAAAAAGCCTCACTGTAGTTAACATATGGCTCTGTCATGTTGTCAAACAGAAAATTAAAACATCATCTGCATTTCCAGTTCAGTGGCAAAAGAATATGCAAAATAAAAAAAATGAAAATGCTGTTGGACATGGAATCAAACTACAACTTCTACAAAGGGCTCATTCTTACTGTGTGTTGTATTTGGCTATTCTAGGGTTACTTTGAGTCATATTTTTATTTTTTGTAGCAGATTTGAATGGGTTATCCTGGTGCTGGTACCCACACAAAAGGAGGGTATTTGTTGCTGGATGTACTGGGATGGACTGGGTCATCCTGGTACCACCTGTTCACATACATCTGCAATTGCTCCCTCACTCCAAACACAACTTGTCTTTCCCTTTTGCCTTATTTTCCTTTTCTCATTTCTTTTCCTGTCTTGTTTTACCTTGCTACCATTTCTAAACCTTCACATTTTTGCTTCAATGCTTTTTAATTGTTTTTTTTTTTACTTTTTACATTTGTGCCATTCTGATATCTGATATTGTGGAAAACATAACCCCTCTGTTACAGCAGCTCCACTGGCTGCCAATCCATTTCCAGGCACAATTCAAAGTGCTGGTTCTGACTGGAGATGGGAGTATTCGTATTCGTATATGAATATCCCCACACAGGTGGCAACAACAAGGGCTCAGCCCCATGGGGCTGGACAGTCCACTCACAGATCCACTGCTGCCACAGACAACGCGATTCTTCCAATGACTCTGCAGATTGCGATCTGTGAGACACTCTTCAACCTTGCAGCGAGGCTTGTCCTCCCGCCTCCTGCCAAGAGTGGCTAGCCGATCGTGACCTGCAAAGCCACTGGTAGAATCATGGTGTCCGTAGCAGCGGTGGATCAGTGAGTGGACCGTCTAGCCCCATGGGACTGGAACCTCATTATCACCACCTGTGCTGGGATAGTGGCATTCGTATACAAACACAAATACCCCCATCCCGAGTTCTGACTTATAAAGCTCTAAACAGTTTGGGTACAAGCTGTCTCCAGGACTGTGTCTCCTTTTATGAGTCAGACCATGTACTAAGATCATCAGGGGATACCTTTCTCTCGGCCCCACCACCTTCACGGTGGGGACCACTGTGGGGACATGAGAAAAGGTATTCTCTGTTGCTGCTCCCAGATTTTGGAACTCTTTTCCACAGGGGGTCAGGCTGGCCCCATCTTTTTTGTTCTTCTGTAAGCCGAAAAAGACCGTTCTCTTCAGGCAAGCTTTCCATTACTGCCTGACTGGCTGGACAGGGGGTTTTAAACAGATTATTGTGCCATACTGTTTTTAAGGTATTTTTGGTGTTGCTTTTGTTTACTGTTTTTTTTTAGTGTTGTATTTGTTTGATCCTTTTTAGTATTTGTATACTTACTGCTTTTAGCTTTAAATATTATCTTTTAATGATATTTTTATTTATTTATAAGCCACCTTAGGTAAAGGTAGAGGTTCCCCTTGACAATTTTTTTGTCCAGTCGTGTTCGACTCTAGGGGGGCGGTGCTCATCCCCGTTTCCAAGCCACAGAGCCAGCGTTTTGTCCGAAGACAATCTTCCGTGGTCACGTGGCCAGTGCGACTTAGACATGGAACGCTGGTACCTTCCCACCGAAGTGGTCCCTATTTATCTACTCACATTTAAATGCTTTTGAACCGCTAGGTTGGCAGGAATAAGTCACCTTAGGTCCTTTTTAAAGGAGAAAGGCCAGGCAAACATATTTTAAGTAAATAAATGAAAATAATGCATGGAGTGGTGGAGACTGGTCAGCTGAAAAATGCCTATATGGAAATATCTTCAAATGACACCCACCGACAAAGTGTGCAGGGCAGAATGAATCAATGTGGTAATAAGGTTCACATGAACAGATGCTATATTGAAGACTGGAGCAAAGTAAAACAAAAATACACCACTATCCAGCATCCAGCAGTGATATTAAAAAACAAACCAAACAAACAATCTAGAAAGCATGTTTTTTTTTTTCCTGTCCTGCTTTGACTCTGTTGACACTAGTTTCAGTCTTATGTCATGCGGACACCAATATGCAGCATCATGGTTTCAAGGAATGTTGAACAAATTCAGGGTGACTGGACCCACCATTATTTTTGTTACCACTTTGTGTCAGGGTGCAGTTTCATGTGCTGGTTGTATAATGGGCTACACTGCAGACTGCCAGCTATGTGGCTATAAAGGTCTACCTGAAGACGTATATCATTCTCTTTCGTGGACTTTTTGAAGTATGATACGGAATTTTATGGAGCAGAACATTCCTGTTAATTTTCCATAGTTGTGATATGAAAAGTGTCTTATGCCACTTCCATATTGTCCTGGAATGATGGTAGAAACTTGTTTAGACTGGCAGGTATATCTACAAATGGCCTAGCTGTCTGATGCATTTGTATATACTTTTTTGTTTGTTATGCTTTAATTTTCATTAGATCACATTTGAATTTTTATTTTATTTTAAGCAGAGTGTCAAAGCTTTACCATTTGGAATGACAGCTCCCAAAATCCCTGAGACCATACTGGCTGAGAAATTCTGGAAGTTGTTATATTAAAAAAGTAACCTTTGCAAGCAATTTTTTTTAAATGTTAGGTCACAGGTGGTCACCAGTGATGGCTGATTCCATCCCAGGATCTACTCTCCTTCAATTCCCAATTCCAAGAGGATGATGACAGAATCAGTCTAATATGGATCTGGAAACAAGATTATTTAAAGGGTAGAAAAATTTTATAAGCACAACAAAGTAAATGTCTTGCTTAGGAGC